ATAATGAAAGAGTTCATATGAACATATACTTTTAAACGCATTGTTTTCAAGATATAGGGTGTTACAACCACTAAATCCACGATATTTGAAAATCTAATCACAGAATTAGACTGACAGATATTTGATTACTTGAAGAGAATAATAAAAATGCCTAAAAAAAGAAAATCTCAATATTGATTCCTACTTTTTCCTTTCACAGAAAAAAATAGCACATTATACAAGGGGGGGGGGAGCTAAAATATACAACTTTTTTCCCTTGTAAAATAAATAACTATTTATCTAATCTAGTTCTTTCTTCCTCCATTGTTAGTTCACAAGATTTTTTTGTTCCACCAATAGGTTATTAGTGTGATTTGGTAAGTATATCAATTTTTTTTTCAAATCATGATTTTTCTTTCTTAAAATGATAAATCCTGAACATGTTGGATGATTGGTTGGTTCCATTGATTTATCAGCAACTTATAAATTTCCTTGGTTTGATTCACACATTGTGAAACTTCAATAATTTTCTGAAAACCTGATTGAATTATCTTTATTCAAATGGCCAAACCATACAATCAATATCAGCACAATGATAGCACATACACTCACACATCTCACACCTAGATTCACATATTAAGGTTCTTTGATAGTAAAATATAATAGGTATACACTTAGGATTTTGAAATTTGAAACCAAATTGAAATATTTGAAATTCATTCTCTTGTATTTATGATAAATATTTTGTAACTTTATTGTGTTCAATGTTTATATAATGGATTCTTTATTATATGATCATATCCATGAAATTCAATTTGTTCAACCATATATTTTCTGTGAACTCTGCATTCAGTGCAGCACTTGAGAGATCCACACTTTGGGCATTCAAAAAAGCACCCAACACAATCTTCATTCAAACAATCACACAGGTCTACTCCTGATGAAATGTGCACACCATTTTCATCACAGATAGCTCCTGCAGGTCTTCGAATATTACTTGGTGGATGGATTTTCCTGCTCAATTTCCTTTTCTCTCTGGTGCTTGTTTCAGGGTTAAAATTGGCCATGAAAAGATCAGATGTTGCTCGTAGAGCTCTAGTTGCATTTCTAGCAGCCTGTCTTCTGGTTGTGTAAGTTTGTTGTGGTTGAGAAACTGACTTACGAGCAGTTCTATTTTCTCTACCGTTTCTTGGATTGTATTCATCATCACTGCTGTCGGAGCTCATATTGGATGTGCTAAAAAAAAGATACCTATGAAAGGAAAGTAGATAAAAGTGCTAGACATGTCTTACTGACCTACTGGATATTGGATAATGAATGCAATAATTATCAATCGTATGCCCAGCTTATAATTCACAAACAAAAGACATGAATCTTTCTGATAATACTCGAAAATCTAAACATTACTCATGAACTTCTCATGAACAATTCAAATAACAACGGACTAGAACTAGAACAACTCATAAAGCGGGGTTCACAATCAAACTTTTTACGTTTTGCTTTTTACGTTTCGTATTTTGATTGGTGAAGCAAAATCTGAAATTAAACGTGAGCAAATGTCATTCACAACAACAAAAAATCGTGACTTTTTATAGCTCAGTTGCCTTGGTTTTGTTATTTGTTTTTCATCCTGAAATGAAGTAAATAATCGTGACAATAATATTGATCAGATAATTGATAATATTGAATTGATAGAACTGGCGGTGATGAAAATTGGTACTTATTCGATACTTGTAGAGAAAAATCAATCTTCACTGAAAATAATGAATTGAACAGTATACCTATCTACTATTCTGTGGATTCATGAGAAAATCATGAAAACATTATCATACCTTCCATATTATTACAGAATGTTTCATATTATTCGTCTATTTTTACTATTTCCACAGACGATGGCTTTTGCAACGCAAAAAGCTGATTATTTTCAGCTTTTTGCGTCATTTTAATTACAGATTGTGCTTCACCAATCAGAATACGAAACGTAAAAAGCAAAACGTAAAAAGTTTGGTTGTGAACGCCGCTTAACTTTTTGAATGTTTTGATTGGTTTTGATACCTTTAATTGGGCCGTGTCTAGAACCACGCTAGCGTTGTCGTATACTGTGTCCTGTCTGTTTAACTCAAGCAGGAGCATCTGCCCCAAGGCTATTCAACTCTATAAGGTTGCCTCATATTGACCTGCCCTGACGTCACTGTTTCCCCATCGTCTTTTGTCGAACGGCAAAATGAAAATGGCGGAGGTGAAAAACAAAACAAACAAATTTAGCATTGTGCAATCAAGTGAATATTGATAAATTTTGAAGTTTTCCAATATGTTTTTGTGTCCAAGAGATTGTTCACTGTTTTCCCAAAACATGCAGCAAGTACAAAAGACTGAAGACAGAAATCTAGAAAGATATGTTCCTCAGTGCTCCTGTTGTACAGACACATTACAGAAACTCAGTCAAATTCTTATTGCAATACCACTCCATTAGGACTGATTACTGTTGGCATTAATAAGGATATGGAGGTTGAACTACTGATAAAGCATTTTTTAATAAAGAAAATGTTTCTAATGATGAAATCATGGTGGATAAGGGCATGCTGACAAGGGATGTGAAGAAATATCTTGAAATTGATTAGGCCATCATTTCTGAGAAACAAGAAACAATTAACTAAAGAGTAAAGAGGATTTCCTTCTGGATAAATTGAATGATTCTAACTCACTGGTTTTATTTCAGTATCAATTTGGAACATATTATTGTTTGAAAATGCAATAATAAGAAAATGAATTAATAAAGAAGTCATCACAATTCATTCCATTTTATTGATGCAATAAAAGTGCAACATAATGGAAATATCTTTGAGGTATCTTCCTCATAACATTAACACAAAATGTATCACAAAAAAACTGGAATCTTTATGTAAGTTTTGGAGGAAGAAGAATCATAAAAGAAAATTATTTTCTTTCAAGTTCATTAGGGACATTTTAGGGCCATTATTCCCAACTGGATTTATCCATAATAAGTGTGTCTCTCTTCCAACTTCACATTTTTTATACCATCTCCTATCAAGAAATGGCATTGTTCCACAAAATGTTTTGAACCTTTACCTAAAATTTTGAGAAAATAATTCAAGCTGAATGTAATACACATTATTTAACAAACCTCTATGTAAGGACCTCAGTAAGGACACTTATTTCAATTATTTCCATGGTCTTCCTTCCTGAAAAATAATTTCATATTGAGAAAATCCTAACCATGGAAAATATTGGGACACAAATTAGTTTGCATGATTTGAAATTCAATATCATTTTCAATGAACATTTTGAAAGAGCTTTGGATTCATATTCAACTCCATGCTAAACAAATTTATTTGAAAAATCCTTTGGAAAGAAGAAGTTGATTGCCTTTTTTCCCAAGACTCCTTGCTACATGTAAAAATGAAGTAGCAAGTATAAGTAAAATTTAATAAACTCACCAGTGTTCCTGAGTACCATGCAATAGCTAGTTGTTCACATTAAGTTCATTGGCTTCCAAACAAAAAACAAAATAGACTGATATACCCTGTAAAATTAACTTCAATTATATAAAGGAAGAATGATTTTAGGGGGTCACTTTCCTTCTATTGAAATGGTTTGGCTGTATAATAGATCATTGATTGATCTACTCTCTTTTTTCAATTTTCACCACTTCTGTTTGTTATATATGCAGCTTCACATATTCCAAGTCTTCATTCCTGAAATTTCATGTATTTTTTACCTGTGTGTGTGATAGATCACCAAGTGCACCTTCCTACCTGTCAATACAAGTCCCTATAAAATGTGTATACAAAACCATGACATGCCTGCTTCACAGGGACATTCACATTGCCACAGCTCATCATTTTCCTTTGGAATTATCTGAATCTCATGTGGAGGCTGCCAAACAGGCATTTCATAACATTTGTTTGTTCTATATCCACTCTTGACTCCACACAATAATATTATGATATTTATGATGTGACCAGCCTTGAATAATACTACACCATATTATTATACAACTTCTCACACTCTTTCAAAGATATCTTCAGTCTTCTTGTCACCCTGTTTTCAACTAAAGTCTAAAATTCGCGATTCTTTCGAATTCAAATTCAAAATTTTTTCCAATTCATTTGACAGTGACACAAACGAAATCAACAATCACGTGGTGGGGAAACACTGACGTCACGCCCCTCCGCGCACCCCCGCACCATTAGCCACCTTAACTATGAGGTAACCTTATAGAAGTTAATAGACCTTGCATCTGCCCTGCCAGATCAATGACAACTGACAAATTCCACCAGCTGATCAACTGCTGCTGATTACTGATGAAAACGTGTTCCGAATTACAGCACTGTATTTTTGATTTTATATTTCGGAACACAGCTTTACAGCAGAGTCAGTGGATCTACTGACAGTACTGACCAGTTGAATTCGGAATATAGCCATTAAATATGGGGAAACGTTGACCTCCGCTTTGATTGGAGGCAGAGGCAATAACAGGAAGTCAAAATATTGGATGATGGTGTGAAAACTGTCAGCAGGCACTCGTCTTCACTCTCATTTTGAAAGTGACATTGACAAGAACAATCTGTCACCGTCGACAGTGACAATCTGACAATGACAGTTTTGATTTTGAGTTTTTCTGTTTGTGATGTAAACATTTTAAACTTGAAAGCTTGAAAGGATAATAGTCATGATAAAGTTTATTTTTTATATGATTCTGAATTCTTTACCAAAACCAAATCATGTCAATAAAAAAAATCACACAGCTAGTACAGTTTGGTGAACTGTCTATGAAAAGATTAAACCTGTTAAATAATTGTAAATTCAAATTAACCAATGAAGGGGCATAGTTGTGTGTGATAAATAAAGATCTAATTATTTATACTTTATAATTATCAGATCTTTCGTGATAAAAACGCTGATTGGTTCATTTAAGTGTATTCACAAGTCACAACAATAACCCTACCAGTGCAGTAATCATTATCAGTTCAACTACTTAGTAAAATATTCAGTTATTCAGTGGCACCTTGACAGCAGCTAGCAGATATGGAATCAAAAGTAGAAAATCAAAATTTAAGCAGGATTCTTCTAGAAGAGACATTCTATGTGTTGACTAAAAAGAACTGTGTTTTCAAAGTTCGGTTAACAAAGAGTGGATTATGTTTGATAAAGGAGAGTGAAAATTATGTGAAAGAACAAGTCATACCCATTCGAGATATCATAGGATGTAGATGTTTACGTAGTAAAAAACAGACCAAAAGATGTGTTTGCCAATCACTTCCTAGGTCAAAAAGTCTAGAAGTTGTAGAAGAAAGTTCTTTGGATCTTGATGATACAGATACTAGTGCATATTTGTATATTTATGCTTATATTTTTCACAACTCCAAGGAATCAAGTAAGAGGCGAGAGAGGACAATCATTACCTTGAGATTTAGATCATTTGATAAATATGAAGACAATAATAAGGAGGCTCAGAAATGGAGAACTGTGATCAAGAAGTTGATCAAAGGTGATCATGTCTCATTATCTACTATTTCAGAATTCACTATTAACAATAAGGATAGAGAATATAGAAGACTTTTAGTACTCTGTAATCCAAAAAGTGGGGCAGGCAGAGGAAAATGTATATTCCAACAAAAAATAGTTCCAATTTTAGAAGAGGCTGAAATTCCCTATGATTTACATTTGACCAAACATGCTAACTTTGCCAGGGAATTTGTAAGAACTAATAATTTGTACCAGTGGAGTGGAATTGTTGTGGTAAGATCATTATATTATTCATTCAATAGATATATTAATGAAGAAATGAACTGAGAATGGAATTATCAGTGATCCTTCTTTGAATTTGATGGGGCACATGGTTTGCTTATTGACTTCTAAACTATTTTGAAACCCTATTTTTGGATTTTCCACTGTGCTTTTACATTTCAAAGCATATCTTCAAATAAGAGCATAAACAAATAATATCCAGGAAGATAGACAATCAGTATTTCTGGGCATGAAAGTTTGAAATATCTTCAAGTGATTCCAGATATTTTGTTTCAATCAATTATTTATGGAATAATCAATCATTTATTGTTCATCAAAACATTACAGTTTCATAACAATGTGAGTTCAGGCAGCAATATGAGATATAAAAAAAATATATATTGTAGAAAGATATGAAATATAAAATGTCCATGCAATGTACAGACTTCTTCAGAAAACTTGTCACAGACTAATGATGATTGAATTCCTAGTAACTCATGCATTATCTATGCAGACCTCCAATTATGACATGTTTTCCAAAGCTACACACTCATGAAGTAATAGAAAAACAGAGCAACTCGGATACACATTTCTGTTATGTCTCAAGAAAAAAGAAACAAAAATATAAATTACAGGTTATTCATTTAATATGAACAAACACAGTTTCAAAAGATTCCATATACAGGGTGTTTCATAATTGAATGCTGATCCTTAAGGGCGATAATCCTTGGATGATTTCAAAGAGAAAAGTTCATATCAACATATGTCCTAAACCTCTTAGTTATTGAGCTACAGGGTGATGAAATTTCAAGAAAAAAATGAGTTTTTCATCATAATTTTTTATCACTCTTAGATATTGTTATGATATTTTGTATACACCTTCTCATTATTAAGGAGCATTTTTTTACATGAAAGATATTTGAAAATTCTCACCAGTGGCGTCCGTACTGGGTTTGAACTGACAATTTTTGAAGAAAAAAATAGTACGCCACTGATTTTTCTGGGAACCAGATTTATTTCTCAATTCTTATTCATTTTGGAGCAAATTTGGTTCCTAGACTTACTTTCATACAACGTACCGTTTGCGCGTAAAAAAATAAAAACAAAAAAATTTTGTTCCTTCAGTTCTTGGATATTGTTTTTGGTAATTCAGTAGACACCCACTATAAGTGGAAACACATTTTGTTTTGGGACGAAAATCAAACTCTTACTTTTACCAGTGATGTCCTCGTAGACCTGATATTGAATGTTTAGTTTAAAAAAACGCTGTATGCTTCTGATTTCAACACCCTGTAGCTCAAAAACTAAGAGGTTCAGGACATATGTTGATATGAACTTCTCTCCCTAAAATCATCCTAGGATCATCGCCCTTTAGGATCAGCATTCAATTATGAAACACCCTGTATATGTAGCTGTAGCTTTTTCTATCAAATGCCTAATATTTATTCTCCAGAGCATGTAGCAATGCCTCAGGGCTGTTCAAATAAGAGTAGTATGGAGATCTCATAGAGCAAACAATTTGACAATCAAACATGAGGTGTTGGATTGATTCCTGTGAGTGGTGAGGTGAGGTAGTGCATAGTTCATTGGGATTTATCCTGAAATTATTGCAGGTTCTAAGTTGAACAATCATTCTTGTTATTTTGATAGGCATTTTCATTTGAAGGTATTTTTGTGGTGATTTGGATATCCTGAAGAAATGAAATAAAAGATGAATTGGCTGATAAAGAAATATCTCTCCTCTACAACCTCTGGTAGTATTCTGAAACTAAATTTTTTCTTTCTTTCTTGAGAACATTGTAGTCCAGTTAGTTCCAGATACCTAGCTATTCAATGGACACAACATACTGTCTCACTTGAAGTGACCAATTGAAACGCTTGTCACTATTGCTGAACCTGAATTGACTGAGTTTAGGTAGTAGATTATTTTTCCATCAAGAATAGTTGCTGAGCCAGTTTGGAGTGGATTTGAAAACATTAGTTATTTCCACACGCCCCATTTCAAGTCTGAAAATATAGTCGGGAGGAGGGTTATTTATTGAATATTGAGTATCAAGATAGTGATAGACTTTGCACCAGTTGATAACAATTTTGGGAGACTGAGCACAGCAAAGGCTTCAACTCGGCTATTTTGGCACAATCAAATGAAAATCATCTAGTATTCAATGCCTATTTGACATGTATGCCTTCCCAAAGCTTGGATAACAGCATTCAACCGCCATGGCACCATCAGTGTGAAACCAGCCACTAGTTCCAGCCATGACTTCGCCTAATATTCAAGGCGCGCGCCATACCACCAATGGTCGTTCATTATTAATTTATATTCATGGCTGGCCATGAAATTACTAAAACCTCCAAAATATGTCCGTGGATTAAACTATTTTCCGTCAATGTATCCCTCTGAGGGTCCTCAATAATCTGTATATCTCACAATAATTTGTCAGACAAGAATTCACTGCACAGAATTTTGAAAAAAAAATTATAACTTTTTCAAAATACACTTGGATGGTGGATGGGAGTTTTTTTTCTATAAACGTGTTCCTCTTATGATACTTGTCAATGTTTATATCTCACAATATTTTGTCGGGCAAGAATAAACCCCACAGGCCCCCTTTTTTTGGAATTTCGAAAAAAAATCATAACTATTGAAAAGGAATATTCTCAGATATATTTATGAACACAAAAATATGGATACATATAATTATAAAGAATTACATTTAGAATTCGCATTCTCCATGTGATGAAAATATTAATTCTTTCTCGGTTTATTCAACAGAAAACAACTACTTTCCTGGCTATATGCCACGACGAACATTGAATTACATCTATTGAACACACACGATAAGAATTTGAAAACAAAATCTTCTGAAGTAGAGAATTCGCATTCTCCTTCATATAAAGATATGCATATAATATCATTCTGAATATTCAACAGAAAACAACTACTTTCCTGGCTATTTGCCACGTCGAACATTGAATTATATCTGTTGAATATCCAAAAATATAGCATGAAAAATAAAAATCCTCTGAAATTGACAATTGATGATGTGTTGATCTCAGAATATTTTGTCGGCAAGAATAAACCGCACAGGAGATATACACATTATCAAGTACCATCGGAGGAACACATTCATAAAAAAAACTCCCATCCACGTGTATTTTGAAAAAGTTATGATTTTTTTTCGAAATTCTAAAAAAGGGGACCTGTGCGGTTTATTCTTTCCGACAAGATATTGTGAGATATACACATTATCAAGTACCATCAGAGGAACACATTCATAGAAGAAAACTCCCATTCACGTGTATTTTGAAAAAGTTACGATTTTTTTTCCAAATTCCTAAAAAGGGGACCAGTGGGGTTAATTCTTGCCCGGCAAAATATTGTGAGATATACAGATTATTAAGGACCCTCAGAGGGTCCATTGACATTGACGGAAAATAGTTCAATCCACGAACATATTTTGGAGGTTTTAGTAATTTCATGCCAGTCGTGAATATAAATTAATAATAAACGACCATTGGTGGTATGACGCGCGCCTTGAATATTTGGCGAAGTCGGGGCTGGAACTCGTGGCTGGTTTCACACTGATCACAGCACCGAGTTGATCAAATTTCTCAAGCAGTCAGAATAATTGCCTCAAATTCCCCTTGAAGGACGAATCATAGCTCTTGAAGAGTCTCTGACAACGCCGGACGAAGGCTAATGAGCCTCTGGAGTTCATACCAAAGATGCTATAGATTCTGAATTATTGTTGATGAAAATTTTAAAAATCCCGAAAAATCCCTACTTTCTCAAAACATTTGTATCTTTTCTTGAAAAGAGAAAATAGAATAGAATAGAATTGAATTGAATTGAATTGAATTGAATTGAATTGAATTGAATTGAATTGAATTGAATTGAATTGAATTGAATTGAATTGAATTGAATTGAATTGAATTGAATTGAATTGAATTGAATTGAATTGAATTGAATTGAATTGAATTGAATTGAATTGAATTGAATTGAATTGAATTGAATTGAATTGAATTGAATTGAATTGAATTGAATTGAATTGAATTGAATTGAATTGAATTGAATTGAATTGAATTGAATTGAATTGAATTGAATTGAATTGAATTGAATTGAATTGAATTGAATTGAATTGAATTGAATTGAATTGAATTGAATTGAATTGAATTGAATTGAATTGAATTGAATTGAATTGAATTGAATTGAATTGAATTGAATTGAATTGAATTGAATTGAATTGAATTGAATTGAATTTTATTTTGTCCAGTGAATGTCACAATACAGGTAAGTACAATACATTATGGGACACGTCACAAACAGATGAGCTAGTTCACTTATTGGTACAATAGGAACCTGGTTCGTATGATAAAATTATGTGAAAAGAAAATAAAATCCAGACTTACAATGTCACATTTTCAAAAATAATTTCATCATTTGCTAATTAAAATAACAGATCTTATTCTGTACAGTGTGGTCTAGCATATAATGCAAATTAGACTACCTACTAGCATTTCTGTACCAAAAAACTCTTGAGATATTTCTTGAGCAATGTTGTTTCACATTCTCTGAACTCCTCCATTGTGCAAATTTTATTGTAGCATTGGATTCCCATATAATTGGGATTTTCCTGTCCAATTGATAATCTGCAGAAACCTAAATTGATTTCGTCCTTCTGTCGGGTAATATGACTGTGTACCTCCTTTCTAGTCTTTAAAGTGTCCTGTTCATTAATAATGTAAACATCCAATGAGTAATTATACAAACTTGGTAAATACATAATACCCAATTCAACAAAGTGGTTTTTACATGGTTCTCTATTAGACAAGTTCAGCATGCATCTTATAATTTTTTTTTAATAATAAATAGTTGGCCAGAGTTATGGTTTTTCTCCAGAAAACTAGACCATATGAAAGGGACGACTGAATAAGTCCAAAGTACAGTAGTTTTAGCACGTCGGAAGGAAGGAAAGGAAGGGATCACACTTCAATATGAAACATGATGAAGCAGGAGGTTGGAGAATGGTTCTGAACTATTGTTAATACAATTTAAAGAATCCATACTTTCTTGAAACACTTGTATCATCTGAACATTTTGACGTGAATCAGATACCATTGTGTTAAGAAAGGGTCACATTTCAATCCAAAACATGATGAAGCTAAGTTTACCACTTACTTTTGCCCGACTTTTGCCACAGGGCGTTAAGAAGTTGAGGATGAATGGATAGCTTTTGTTTTTCCTTGTATAATGATCAAGCCATCAGCTTTTTTTAAGAACTAAAATTCAGGCTCACACTCTGAATCATGATTCAACGATTTGGTCGAAATTTCACCAAAATCAGACAAGAATTAAAAAAGTTACAGGGCGATCAATGCAAAATTTTTTGCTGACTGGTTTCTTTTGCCGGTGAGTGTAAATTCACATTATTGAAAATTGTTGATTGTTGGTGAAAGGAAAGGATACGATTGAGAATAACAAGAAAACATTTACATGCATTCTATTTAAGTACCTATTGAATGCATATTTGACATTTGTAAAACATTCAAATTTGCTTAAATTCAAATTATACATACACCATTCAAAAGTTACCAAAAAGTTGAAAATTGGAGTGTTTGAATCATCTCCATAACTTATTTGGGTGGAAAGTTGTGCAATAGTTGTTCTAGCTTGAGGTTAAGCTAGCACAACACAATGGGGAAGTTTCCTTCCGATGAATTTTCATAAAATAAGTTCAGTTTTATGTCCACGCTGTTTCAAATTGAAGCAATTTCTAATTTTCGGGGCGGCAAACTGTGACGTACATTATGAATCTAGTCTGAAAATAGCTGATGGTGAAGAATATAGCTAGCGAATAGCTAACGAACAGCTAACGAATGAAAAAAATAGAAGAAGAAATAAAACTGGCAAACAAAAACATACATAACCTAAATGCACTCGGAGCAGGAATGCAGAGGGTAGTTGGCTTCATTCTGACAGGCTTTGGTTTTGTTATTTATGCATTGAAATATCTCGAAAAGAGCTCGATCCTAAACGAAAATATCATTGAATCAATGAATCACTATCGGCTACATTCAATGATACTATCCTTCCTAATTTACTATCATCGGTCAGAACAGAATGAAGCCGACACTCATGACTCCTTCCTCTTGTTGTGCCTGTCACTATTTTGAGTGGTGTGGACGGACTCGAAGTATTAGGCGCTGTTGCAATATACCGGGTGTCCCATTAAGCCTATCGACCTGCTTTATCACAGAAACTATTGGTCCCGCAGTTTTAGGAAAAAAACTATCTTATGTAAAGCAGTCAAGAAAAATTCAACTAAAATATTTTTAAGTTCCTAAAATGACCGCTAGGTGGCGTAATACAGATTGAAAATTTAAAAACTCCTTTTTCTTAAAAAAGTTGAATGCAAACGTAGGTATTTTTTAAAGTATTCTGCATCTCCTAGTCAATACCTAAAACTTTTGTAGAACACTTTTTGTTCTAACTCTTCAAACAACGACAACAAAAACAAAAGAAAAACGGTATACAAAAATCACCATAACTTCGGTTTGTCTAATCCGATTTGAATAAACTTTTTTGGCAAATTCCTCAGCAAACCAGCAGATGTCGCTTTTCGTAATTGTTACCAATTATTGATAATTCCTTAGAAATTTTGAATGTAATGACATATTTTTGAATGAAGTGCCATATTCTGCAATAGATTAAGAAAAGAATGCCGCAAACCGGAAGTCTCTAGTGTTTTTTAAACAAAAGTTATGAATAAAAATGTGTTTATAAGATTACGAGCGTAATAAATGCATATTTTTAAAATATCAAGAAGGCTATGAATACAAAATAAATGGCAAAACTGTCAAGGAGAGGATGAAATCTGTAAACATTTTGCCGTTGAGCCATTCTTATGCTAAGATTTTAGTGTTTAATTATCAAAAAAACTTTTTTTTGTAAAATAATGTCTTACACTATTGCAGAAGCATATGATATGCTTGCAATATTTTTTCGAAGTTTTTAAAATCCAGTGATTGCCTCGCGAGAATACAGCTTGGTATATCCAGAACAAAGGCAACATTCCCGAATAGTATTCCTTCGCCTGTCTCGACGCTGCTCGACGCTTAAGGGAAACCGGAAGTGTTTTGCCAATACCACCGACCAATAGACGTCGAAGAGAAAGAAACGAAGAAAACATAATTAACGTTCTTGCTTACGTTGAAGCACATCCTCACTCCAGTATCAGAGACATGTCAAGACATTTGGGTGTATCAAGATCACGATGTAAAATATCACAAATTTTCTGATACCGAGCAGATGAATGTTGAGGAGGTAACAGATGATCTTTTTTCCTTGTATTGTAATTATGTTCTCAACTTTTTCGGTCTCTAAATAACGTTTATGATTGTTTGTGATATATTATTTTTTGATTATATTGATTGATGTATGATTATTGTGAAGATACCCAGGTTTTTTAAAATATTACCTGCATGAATCTCTTGCTCTCAGATTTACCAAGATACGGACTGCCCTTTTTTGTAAGGTAAAGGCCCTATGAGCTCCTGCGGAATTTGCGCAATGTATGATTCCATATTTTAGATTTGAGTGGATGCACCCGAAATACAATTGTTTCATTATTTCTTTGCTACATTGTTGTGATGAAATGAAAAGGGCATAGCATATCTTAGCTAGCTTCGAACACAAACTATCTACATGTCCATACCACTCCAGGTTACTTTCTAAAATACCACCAAGCAATTTAGTATTTTTTCGAGCGCTGGTGATTTCTGTATTATTTAGAGTTATGTGGTTAGGATATTCTGAACCAGAAGATTTGAAAATAACACAGGTCGATTTATCATTATTCAGACAAAGCTTGTTCACATCAACCCACTTGCAAACATTCATGTAAACTAGTTCGGCCTGTTTTTTGGCATTATAAACAGTGTCTGAAATGAACAGAAAGTTTGTATCATCTGCATGAGCTACTACTTGAGAAGAGTGCGGTCTCATTGATTCAATCAAATCGTTGATATATATAATAAAGAGTGTTGGACCAAGAATGGATGCTTGGTGCTGAATTATTAGTGAGGAACAAGTCAAGTTTGTTGTGTACGTTGAAATCGCCCATTATAAACTCAAAATTTGTTGTTTCATTCATTTTGTCAGAAAGAAATTGAAAATATCAAATCAGAATTTTAATGAATTTGATATGCCATACCTATGAAACAAGACAATTAATTTTGGCGAAAAATCCACAGTAAATATAAAGACAAAAAGGTTTTAAAAGAAATTTAAAGAACGATATGCTCAGTATACTTCAATTCCATACTACATTCACGATTTGATTACTTGAAATGGATTATAATATTTATTTCTTTTTTTAAGCAATTGTGCAATAATTATTCTGATTTATTGCATATATGTTATATGAATATATTCCTTTTAAAAACAACAATGTTTCTTGGGATAATAAAAACAATCAATCAATCAATTTCTCTATATCATTTATGACTAATAGTTCCTGTAAGTCATTGTTTTTGTGATTGAACGGTGAAACAGCGACGTTTCTGCTCATTATCTTGAAACCGATTAAAATTCTTCCAGGTAGGTGGCGATGGAATAGTATTCGAAGTAATCAACGGCATATTCGAGCGTTGGGACTGGTCGGACATAATAAAATCGATTCCCGTCGGCATCATACCGGGTGGCTCAGGAAATGGTCTGGCCCGCAGCATAGCCTATTACTATTCCGAGCCCTATGCGCCGTCACCGTTCCTACCGTCCGCCCTAGCGGCAGTCAGGAGTAACTACGCCCCCATGGATTTGGTCAGGGTGGAGACCACGTCTCAAATCATGTTCTCGTTTCTGTCTGTCGGTTGGGGCCTGTTGTCAGACATCGACATAGAAAGCGAACGATTGAGGATGCTGGGTGGTCAGAGGTATGCATAAATCAGTTCAAAATAGGAAATTGGACCCCGCACTTTCCTTATGGAAAATGGCTTTCGGTTAAATTCCCTGAATTTTTGGTATGATGTAGATTTTGATTTCCTAAGCAAAAGTGTCCATGGGCACAAAGAAATCGGCTGACTAGTTTTCAAGATACAGGGTGTCAAAGATGAGAAGGGAAGCTTTCTGCTCAGAATTTTTAACAACTCCTATTTTTCAACATGAATTGTTGGAAAATAGCCCAAAATTAACCAATTCTTTTTCGAAATACAGGGTATTCATTGAAAAAACCGCATTTTTTCAAGAAACTTGGACTGTATCTTTTTACTCACCCTATATATATGGAATGAGTATGCGACGTTCTCAACATTAAAGAATGTCTGATATATATATGGCATGCTCTCCCCTTTCCGATTAAAAAAACTAGGGATTGACGTACCCCTATTTTCGAACCACCCTGTATATTAAAAAAATGTCAGTAAAATTCGATCGAGATTGAGAAAGTTTGTCCAGGCTTCAATTGGATCTTTAATTCTCATGAAAGAACTCACCCTGGTTGGTTTAAAATTAATCAAATTGGATTTTTCTTTGTTCACCCTGTTGTAGAGCCCAAAACGTAAAATTATAATGGATACGAGATCCAGATGACATTGTATCATCATTGAGGCATGTTATTCCATGAATATTCCATGTTATTCCATGAATGTTCCATGTCAATTCTCGAAGTTGTTAAAAATTCTGAGCAGAAAGCTTCATTATTCCAAATTTTTTGGGATTTTCTCTCCTCGTTTCTATAAAATAAAAATATGAATATTATCTCAATATACGTGTAGTAAGGACAAATCAGATGATTTGCCCCAAAATGTCACTGCGTTTAAAGAATTTTCCTATCAGAGAGCCTAAAAGAAAAATTCACTAGCTTGTCAGTGACAATTTGTATTGAAAAAATTTTTGGAGAAGAGAAATAAAGGTATATAGAAAAAATATCAAATTTTCACTTATCTTTGGACGTTTCGGGACCGATTCTGCTCCCGTTTTCAACATGAAGAGATTTTTTCAATTGCGAAGTCGTATAATATGTCTTGAAGCTTTTCAGTTTTCAATGACAATTGGTGACGTTGCATAAATTGGAACATTCTCACCAAATTTCGTGAATTTTATTTCAAGTAGACAAATGGAAATAGAAAGGTATAAAAAATAGTATAGTGTGTGAATCCAGAAGATCGTTGAAATGCAGAGGACAAAAAATAGACAAAAAAACGATATAGTAGAGCGGTATGCAACTTAGAGTGTGCTAACTTATGCTACCAAAAACCCAACAATTCGAGGTAAAAGAATACATAGGAATACATTGTAAAAGTGAGAATCCTCTTTCATTTGAATTCAAATCGATTTATCAATAATGAAAATTAAACATGTTATAGTCTAAGATCCGAACCTAAATCGACTTTCACCGAGCTGATAATAGAACGAAATATATTTTATCATGAATTTAGTATATTAGAAAACATATTAAAAATGGGTTCGCTAAAAAAAACCTGGGCAGACTATTTTTAATTATTTTTCTAAAAATGATTTTTAATCAAATGTTGCAACATCAGGATAATAAAAAAAATTTGTCCTGACTGAAAGTATAAAACGTATAGAATGTGCAGCCGTTGGGTTGTCTACTATTTACCTGGGCGAACTACTGGGTTGTCAGGTAACACAGGTATATCGATGCCAGTTACTTTCACTGGATTGGATAATTAAAAAAAAATTATATCATAAGCGCTGTTTAATTGCGAACACGTTGATATAGGGTTGTCTGCGAAAATTCCGGTCCTATTAGGGGTTTGCGAATTTTAAAGATTTAGTAAGGTAAGTATACTGTGTAATAATAAAGGACCCAATATCGCAGTCGCTTGTGATGGGACCCTAAATAGTAGAAAGTGCACATGGTAGAGGTACCTCTACTATCCTTCATATAGTAAACAGTGCGTGTTATTTCGGAGTAGCTTAATGACTTATAATATTATATTGCATCGTTATTTCTTAATTTAAATTTTTGGCGGTCCACTTTGTTTCTATTTCCAGAAAGAGCAAAAAAATTTCAAAGTAAGTAATTGATATTTTTATTGTCTATTATAGATTATAGATATATTATTATGGTTATAACGCAATATATTGATATTATATTGTTTTTATATATTATTAGTATATTAAATATATTTAATTATTATGTAATTAATTAATTATTTTTTTTTGCTACTGAAATATCAGTTGCTCCAAAATAACACGCACTGTTTACTATATGAAGGGTAGTAGAGGTACCTCTACCCTCCATAGTTTACACACCGAGCATGCGCACTTTCTACTATTCAGGGTCCCATCACAAGTGACTGCGATGTTGGGTCCTTTATTATTACACAGTATACTTACCTCGGACTTACCTCACACACTTCCACGCGCGTTGAAATTAAAATCTTTGAAATTTGCAAACCCCTAATAGGACCGGAATTTTCGCAGACAACCCTATATCAACGTGTTCGCAATTAAACAGCGCTTATGATGATATAATTTTTTTTAAATTATCCAATCCAGTGAAAGTAACTGGCATCGATATACCTGTGTTTACCTGACAACCCAGTAGTTCGCCCAGGTAAATAGTAGACAACCCAACGGCTGCACATTCTATACGTTTTATACTTTCAGTCAGGACAAAATTTTTTTATTATCCTGATGTTGCAACATTTGATTAAAAATCATTTTTCGAAAAATAATTAAAAATAGTCTGCCCAGGATTTTTTCAGCCAACCCATTTTTAATATGTTTTCTAATATACTAAATTCATGATAAAATATATTTCGTTCTATTATCAGCTCGGTGAAGGTCGATTTAGGTTCGGATCTTCTACTATTTGGTTGATTATGAAGTGGGTAATATAACTGTGCTTTCGACGGCTCCGGGCGTATTCCAGGATATTGATAGTGATATTCACATACTTGGAAAATCGTGAAGTACCATTAAAAGTCGATAAATTAATTTCAGGTTCACAATTTGGTCACTAGCCCGTCTGATAGGCCTTAGAAGTTATAGTGGAAAGGTATGGTACTTGTCTTCAGAAGATCCACTCAATGCGCCCAAGGAGCAGCTTTGTACGAACGATATTGGTAGTAACTGCGATCTCCCCACTGAAGTCAACTTAGAAACTCAAACAGGTAATGAAATTAATATACAGGGTGATCCTACATGCATCTTTGGAGGTGGTACACGTCATCAAAAGTGGGCACCCGAAGATATTATTTTTTATATGAAACGATTTATGTTGAAAAATTGAGGAAACTCAACTTTTTATGCCCAATACAACTGCAAGTGTAATTTTGAAATTTGATTCAGTGGCTTTTTGAACAGGGCGGGGTACAGTTGAATATTGCTGCAACTTTTAGGTTGATAGCAAAATCGCAGAGTTGTTATGGACAGATTTTGAAACGTGTTCAAGATACGAATTAGTAGTTATCATTTAATAATTTTCTTGGGATTTGAACTTGCATTTTTTCATGATATTGTAACCAAACCCACCCGGGTGTTGTCTAAATATGGAAGTATTATCCATATTTCATGTGATCGTCTAGTATATCATATTTGAGGCGTATCGAAATTCATTTCGTTACCCCTCAAACACGTTCCCACGCTGTGTATATATTTTTTTTTATAAGTTCGTGGATACAGAGTTTTGTGAAGGTAGAGAAGAAATGAAAATCAAGTGAAGTTCGAGAGCATTTATTAACCACGCAGCTTTTTACAATGCAAGTGTACGAGGTGCAGTAAAGTGACTTATCAATTAGCAATCAAACCTCTTCACTGGTACAACCCAGACTCAGCCGCAAAAGTTTATGTTTGGTATTAACTGATCAATTGCTGGGACGGCATATGTTTGCACTCCACTCTAATTGCTCTGGGCTGGGCCCTCTTTTAGCAAAAGGATCGTCACCCGTCGGGAATAAAATAAGAGTGGTTGCAAGCCACCTCCGTGGTGTACACCTCCACAGGGACGTCCATTTCAGTATGCCTACTGTTAATTATATTAAGAGCAACAGGGGACGCGCTCCCATAGTACCATCGAGCAATTCGACCACTCATCGTCATCTATAAGCACTTCAGATTATTTTCAACTGGTCAAGGGTGAGCAACAGCTCTAGTAGCAGTGAAGTACAATAACAAACGATATAATGTGATGAATTTACTCTATTTGGAATGGACTATCTTGCAAATACTGAGATACTACTATACTGGGACCTGGTTCTTCAACTCCTTCCTTCGGGCTGACGGAGGTAGAGGCCTGGTATACTTCCATGCTTTTCTTTTCCTATGAGTCTAAACAAGAGAAGGAATTAGTTCCATAAATAACATAATTTTGACTCAATCTCGCTGAAGTAAGACAGAAAAACACAACTAGAATTGGGTAACTCTTTATTATGAATAAAAGTCATAGATAATCCCAGAAGGATTGACTATCAAGAAGTTGTACGCATACGTATAGAGTCCGAGAATGACCTAAGTTGGTATAATAATGGATTTAGTGTTGGGTCCGACTGCGAACTCAGTCGGTCGGATGGTAGTGTAGGGTCCGACTGCGAACTAAGTCGGTCGGATTGTAAGTGTGGGGTCCGACTGCGAACTAGTCGATCGGAATGTATGAAATGTCAGTGTAGGGTCCGACTGCGAACAAGTCGGTCGGATTGTAAGTGTAGGGTCCGACTGCGAACTAGTCGATCGGAATGTATGAAGTGTCAGTGTAGGGTCCGACTGCGAACAAGTCGGTCGGATTGTAAGAGTAGGGTACGACTGCGAACTAGTCGATCGGAATGTATGAAGTGTCAGTGTAGGGTCCGACTGCGAACAAGTCGGTCGGATTGTAAGTGTGTAAGTGTGAATAAATTGAGTATTTAGTAAGAATAAATATGAAATCCTGTGACTCTGTGAAGAAAATAACAACGCTTCATCATATGTCAATTATATAGCATAAATCAATAGAAGTAATGATATGTATTAGTTCAGTTCAGTTGCAACTAATAAGCCCAGTTCATTGCAAAAGAATAAACCTCAATGGGCTGTCCGTGACGGCCGTCGGTGCTCTAGTCACTTCCAGCACCGAGCGGACTGCCACTAATGTCATGAATGTCATAAATGTCATACATCAAATAAATTCAGATAAACAGAAATAAACATGGACGAATATCAAATCGAATATTAAAACAGTTTTGTTATGTTGTATTTACCTATTATTCCTGGAGATGTTGCTTCTTCGAAGGCTGGAAATGTTCTGCCTAGATCGCGGCTCGGGCTGCTATTTATAGGGAAACCGTTTGTTGTGATTGTCACTAGGACCACTTCCATGGTTACTGATGTTCTTTTGCTTTTGGGTGTATGATAAATTGACATTCATCATACAGGGCGTGGAAATGAATTCTGAATTGAGACTCTATCACGAATCTGCGATTAGAGGTCTATAAAAATCACAAGTTTCCATCGTTCAAGTTTGAACCCCCTGATTGGGTATGAAAGTGTTGAAAAGGAATATTCTCAGATAAATTATGAACATACAAAAATGGATATATATTTATATAAAGCAATACATTGAGAATTCGCATTCTCTATGTGATGAGAATATTTACTCTTTTTCAGTTAATTCAATAGAAAACAACTACTTTCCTGGCTATATGCCAGAATGATGTGTGTATATACATATTTTTGTCTGAAGGAGAATGCAAATTCTCAATTTCAGAAATTTTTATATTTTATTTTCAAACTCTTATCGTGTGTGTGTGTTCAATAGATATAATTCAATGTTCGTCGTGGCATATAGCCAGGAAAGTAGTTGTTTTCTATTGAATTAACTGAAAAAGAGTAAATATTCTCATCACATAGAGAATGCGAATTCTCAATGTATTGCTTTATATAAATATATATCCATTTTTGTATGTTCATAATTTATCTGAGAATATTCCTTTTCAACACCTTGATGTTCTTTTATTGAAACAAACCTGGATTTGGCCCCTTTTTGGCCCCATTTCAGGGTGCTCCCTTGCATTATGAGGTTTCTAGCTGTGAACATACGATGTCCAAAGATCAGGTAGCTGTTTTCACATACTTATAAGTCTATCCCTGTGGTTCTACCTCAGATTTGAAGTGAATTTATAAACGTCTGACAGCGTCAAACGTTCGTGAATTGGTAGAGTTTTCTCCACAAAACAGACTCTTCCTGCCTTTGTAGCTGGAATAAATCGATACAAATCGAAGTCCAGATTACTTACCAAGCTTTCTGATGTTGTAACAAAGCACAACACTGTAGAATCGAGTATCCAACAAGGTCTTACCATACCTGGGATACAATCCAAAGTTGGAGTGATAGAATTTATGATCTCGTGATGATTTGTTACTAATTCCTCTGATAAAAAATGCAACTACTCATAGAAATTGAACCCTCAAATATCAGAAATAAGATAATGACTTCCGAAATGAATCAATACCCTTGATCATGATGAAATAATCTACCAAGCGAACTGTCTTGGGTCGTTACAATATGGTTCAGATAATTATATTCATAGTTTCTCAAAACTCCTGATTCAATCAATCAACCAAAACCAACCATCTTTAAAAAGTGATTGGCTATCAAGATATGGAATCGGATTTTATATTTTTTTCCTATAGCAGTTTCCTGTAATTTATGTTATGGGTGTCCCCAAAAGGTCTGTACCAAATCTCAGCACATATTCCTTAAGCCGATTCAGAGCAACTTACCTCAGTCCGAAATTGCTCTATTTCCGTGATACAGGATGGTAAAGTTGATAAAAATCGAAAGTTTTAAAATGTATCAACATTTTCGAAAGTATCACTTCAAAAATTGTCAGCCATGAGCTTTTTGAGATGTGAAACCCGAATACGGACACCTTTCCACTGTGGCCATTAGAGGCGGGCGCATACCAATACATTTCTTATGATTTAGAATGGCCATAACTTTTTTCTCAGTTCAGTTTTTCGCATTTTATGTTAGGGAAATGATTTTCAAAAAATGGTTCAACTGTGGAAAATCGCTAAATTAAGCCATATTCGAGATATTTCGGTTTTTAGTGTTCGATGCCGCATCGAAATATTTAGATTATTTTGAATAAAAAATGTTTGCTGTTATCTTTGTGGATGCAATGTGGTTAGTGAATAAACAGTACATAAATGGATTTTTCAAAATACTTTTGTGAAGTGTACTTGTAGATTTTCATTTTTTAAATTTACCACCCTGTATCTCGGAAACGGAGCAATTTCGGACTGAAGTTGCTTTAAATCGGCTTATTTCCACCTCAGGACTATGTGCTAAGATTTTGTACAGACCTTTCAGGGACAGATGGTATATTTTTTAAATCAATTTAACTTGAAAAGTGAACATCCAATCAAAATAAGCCTATATTTGTTTCAATTATTTGAAGCTTTATATTTTCCCAAACATTTACGCAAAAGTATGGATGCTTTGGTGTGTTTGGCATGAAGAGAATTTTTATCACAAATTGTTCCGGAAATATTGAAAAAAAAAAACTTTCCGTAGCTCACATTTGATGGTCATTTTCAATTAATTTGCATCGTTTTATCGTAAAAGGCGTTAGTAGATTATTACACACTCTTCAAATTTGATGTGAGTTTAATTTGGCATCCCGTCTACAACAACATAATGGCACATTTATCTTGTTTCCGTAATAATTATAAATTAGCTATTTCTATAATGAGTTACGATTAGTGCATTTTAGGCGGGCGATGTGAAAATTGTTCTGCGGAATGAAGCTGAGTTGAACAATAGGTGAACTCCCTATAAAACATCTGAACATTTTTTTCTACTGAGGCTTTGAAGAAGTAGTGAATAATACACCTAGGGATGAGAAGTGAACTATTTATCTAGCTTTTAGCAAGTTATTTAGCAATTTAGCAACGATATAGTCCGTGAAGTAGGTATATAATAGCGTTGTTACTTTGCTATGTTAGTTGCTCGCTTTGTATATAATTGAGATTTGTAATTGAGGTCTGCGAGTGCTATAAAAAAATAGAGTAGGATACTTTAGCCAAACCAAGTTGTAAATATTATGTATATGAACAATCAGGATGAAACCCCAGAGGAAGAGCTTAGCCAGACTGACAAAGCGAATGTAACTTCAAAATCCAAACCTGACAATGA